ATGCTGAAACTCATGAATACTATGGCAGAGGGCGCATGATTAGTTACGTTCCACAAGGTCTCCCTGATGCTGCGACCAAGTTGCGAAAACTAAATCAAACCAACACTAGATAAAACCTGGTTGCTTTTGAATTAGATCTTCTTAATATCACAAATTAAGTTGGTTTTAGTCCAAAGATAAGCATATACCTGATCCCAATTATGCTACTTTTTTAACGAAACCTCAATGAGGTCCAAACAAAGACTCAAACCTTATTGAGACAAAATTAGGTTGAAAGCCGATAACATTTTTAGGAGGAAAAACTCCCAATAATAAGGTTTAACATGCTTTAAGATATGAAAAGGAATGGTTTGTCTTTTTTGTATTTTAAAGCACCACTTTTGAAAAATTAAATTCGCATTGCAAGACAGTAGCTATTACGACAGTTTATATTCTCAATAGCCAAGTGTTTATATATGCGAACCCACCTTAGTAAAATAATTGAATTATATGAGATATAATAGGGTCATTAGATAGACAAAAATCAATTAAAATATGTATATACAAATAGTTTTCAATAAGTAAATGTTAAAATTCAACGGTTTCGGTCTTCTGGCGAACTGGACAAAAGGTCGAAATATTTTATCATTCTATATTGTATGAAAAATTACGTGAATGATCTTTTGTATAGTTGCTATTGGGGCATCGTATTTCGTCTTATGTGAAACCGTGTTTGGTCGCTTTGAGTCATACATAAGGCATCTGACAAGATCACTACTCTTTGAAACACGCAGGCTCCTGATTGTATTGACTAACTCGAATGTTAACAACAAAGATTGCTTTATCCATAATATTTTTTAAGGGCTTTCGGTTAAAGAAGATAGGCTCACCTCCGTGTCAGCATCGATGGATAATGGTAGACTAGCTATGCAGTCAGAGCAGACTCGAAGACCACAATCGTAGCATTCCTGAATCTCCAGACCTAAAGGCTCTCGTCCTATGGCTCCATTGGTGTGATAACCTTCCTTTACTTTGTTGGAACCAATCTGAACGTGGCTACAAGATCTTTCCAATTCTAGGCGTAAAGAGGTCTGGCTGGTACCATTGGCTAGCCTGGACTCGGTGCCAGGGATTTCGGAGGCCTGATTAGCAATTGGCGCAAGTTTTCCATCTTTTTTTCCATTCTGCTCCAGCCTACCGGTAGGAGCCATGACACGAAGACAAAGTGGACAGTTCATAGTTGCATAAGGCGTGCTTGTCAGGTCTTGAGTAGACAAGTAAACCCTCCTGTTCACTGTTTGCTCGTGAAGATGCGTTTCACGCCGCAGATGCCTATTCGATAGAGAAAAAGAAAGGGGTTGCTGATTATGCAAAGTTATCGTGGGTACATAAGAAGCTATGTTGGATTATAGGCAAGCCCCACTAGCACCAATTATTATAATTAATTTATGTGAAAAGAGTTGCAGGCTTTAGTTGGATATACATACACCTTATGCTTTCTAAAGGATTCAAGACCACTTTTTATTCAGTAAAGGAAAAAAATATTTTGAATAAAATTGTTATTTGTCTTAAAATTTCTTAATCTTTGAGTTTAGGATAAAAAATTTCATCAAAATCCTGGAGCACGCATACTTAAAACTGATTTTATGCTGATAAATCTGATATTCTCGGCGAATTTTTATGCTTAGATTTGCCTTACCGAATAAGTGAGCAGATTTTATCTAACCGTTTCAGCTTTAGGAATTCAATTTCACTGTAATTCATGATTTCGTCAATATGAATGATGCTCATAATCCTTGTCATGTCTCTATTTTATTTTAGCCCGAAGCGTCACTGTAAATCTGTATTTAGATTGGCCTTTTCTTGCTCCTCAAAATTCGTTGCTGAAATAAGCTTCCTACATCAGGACTATGTGCGGATTCTATTTGCTTTAAATCCATATCTTTTGGCATATCTTCCCATGACATTCTCCTTGCTGACATCTCTACTTGATATTGCCAGATAACAAGTAAGTCATAGTTTCGCGAAAATGTATTTTCAGTTTTATATTTGGATGTCTATTTAAAATAGTAGTAAGATTACTGATTGCTTATTATTGATAATCATCATAAAGAAATTCACCTTTAGCCCCCCATAAAGTCTATTTTGATCATTCTATTCAGCCTTGCTGATAACATTATCGGTGAAATTGCAAACTTCACAACTGATGATTTTAATTTGATACTGATGTTAAGAATTAAAATAGACTCTTTCGTGTTAGATCATAAGAGAAATAAAGAAGGCCGTAAGTATTTTTCAAGCGGCATTATTATCTTATAAACTCTTGCTTCATTATGCAAGTGGAATTTTTATGATTGCCGAATTGTAGTTCGAAAATAATAGTAAGCTTATTGGATAAAATAAAATAAATTTTACCATAATTAACAGTAATGAACGATGGCTTCAGTTTCAATAAAAATATAATATTTTGTTTTAGAAATAATCACTATCGAATAATTAGCAGAGTTTGCACAGGGAAATGTCTTACCGGTACATGGCTTCACTATAATAAAGGACGTTTCAAGCTGATAAATCTTAATAGAGAAAAGGTCGATGAGCTGAAAGAATATCTGTTATATTTCAGTTGTCTTAATTGGAGTTGGTGTTAGGAAATAACGTTTAAGAAACTCGTCAGTAATTATTTATTTTTGTGAAGAGATAGCAACTTGCTAGAGTTATAACCTCTTCTGAGGTTTACCAAAATCATTTATTATGCATATAGGGACATCTTAACATTTTGTGATTAGAACAAATACGTGTCTTATTTTATTCAATCATTTTTGTGTACTTGACAGTTAAACGTCTACATTAAGACTTTAGTTGAATTCTTGATGAGATCAAGTATAATGGAGTTGTCAAATATACTTATGTGTATATAGATCGAATCAATTTTTAGCTTTTATAAATTCGTAACCTTATTTTAACATAATATTCACTCCTTTTGATTACCATAAAAGAGATACTAAAATGCTTAATTGATTCAATAAGGATGAAAAGTAAGCCAGTTAGTTTCGGTATTATTTGTGCCCTTAAATTTTAAAGATACTCAAAGAATCATAGCTTAATCAGTATTTCTTACATTTATCGAACAGGAAATTGAAGGAATTTATGTGCTCTGATAGTAGTAATTATATTAAGATGTTAGTGTTAGTTTATCAAGATTATTTGTATTTTTCCACACCTGATTGATACAATGGGGGCTTCTTACCTCCTCTGAACCTCCATAATTGAGGCATACAATAAAGTCATAACTCGGAAGTAAAGAAAGCATATTTTTATTGAAATATTATTTTCTCGTGTGATACTTTATCTAAATTATTGTCTAAATAGAAACTAGGTAAATAGAGAAAATAAATATTATAGCCGCATATTAGTCTTAAATGTATCATATATGATAATAAAAAATTGGTTTTAGTTCAGTCACTAGGCAGATTTTATAGAAATACACCCAAATACATTATCTTATTTCCATATTGAACTTGCATTTAAGATACACAAACCAGAAATAGACATTCATAAAGTGCATAATTCTCATATGTTTATATTCTGAGGATGACCTGCTATAAAACGAATTCTCTTCGTATCACTATATTGCTTAGTTGTCTATTTTGAGGCCTGATGGCTATAAGCACTGGACATTTTTTGAGAACAAATTTTCTACAAATATGTTGTCGCGTAGTCCCACATATTTCTATATGCGTTATTCATAATGCTCATACTATATTTTATTATAGTTTCCGATTTATGATAAAATGAGCCTGCTTTTAAGATATAGACTCTCAAATGTAAGCATTTTATATATTATATCATCACAAAACACTTTGTTTTAAATACAAATAAGTTTCTAATAAAAATAGTTTACGTAAATGTAACTTAAGAGGTTATCTACATAAAGTTTAGGCCAACTGAAACAATAAAGAGTAAACGTTTGACTGATTGTTTGTGACAGTTTCTTAGTAAAGCTATGCCAATCATCATCAATAGCTAAGTTTATCCTGTACTTTCTTCCATTTGGGCTGTTAAAGGAAAATATAGTGGAGCTTGAGGAGCAAAGTACGTCTTAACCTATGCTGTATTGTTAAATACCTTAGGAAATATTTCGAAATTATTATACTCCATATGTAAATTATGATATGAGATCGAATTAATAATGACTAAAGATAAATATATGTTGGAAGGGCAGAATATTAATATTATAGGATTCACTATGCATTTAATAGTCTAACATCTGCCTCATAATTAAAATAATTACTGTGCATTTATGAAAAAAATTATAGTTGGCCTTTATTCTGGACGAGCAAAGGAGCTAAAGTGTGGGGACGAAATCCTTTTGCAAAGTAAGGTAGCCATTTAAAAGAAAGATCTGAACCTTTATCCAAAATGCTTTATTTCAAGATAATGTATATGCGCATGCGTCTAAGTATAGCTAAACAAAATAGTGCCGATGATATTGGGTATTAAGTATAGAATTTACATGAGATAAATCGGAGTCGAGGGCATCAGTTTATTGATAAATAATCATAATAATACGTAATAAATAATGAAAATAATAATACCCCATCAGATCATTCATAAGCTTAAGGAATATGCTAGTATATGAGGTATGAAGTAAAGTTAGAACGGCTAACACTTAATTTATTGACTTGGGGCTAGATAAGGTGTTAAGGGAACTTAAGAAGGCAGGCTTAACTAATTTCTCTGGTCAGGGTCCTTTTAAAGTCACCCTTTTTCACACCTGATTTCTGCCATAAAGTCAACTAGAAGTGTGTCTGCTGCTTCACAATTGCAGAGATGGGTTGGATTGAGTAAAACTTGAAAAAATCCTTAAAATGTAATTACATAAGGTAGATGTTCAGCTAGATTATGAATATTCCGAATAAACCCCTGGATTTCATACCCTAATCGACAAACGCAAAGTATATGCGAGCAAAAAATGAGCAAAGCAACTCGTTTTTTACATCAATATTAAAAGAAACTGGGCTTCGCACCCGGAAAAGCTATACTTCTTGAATCAGAACTCAGTGACTCTTAGTTACTAAAGGTGATTTAACGACTGATGATAAAATTATTCTCCACCTTCCATGAAAAGCTGGAAGGTTATATTAAACTGTATCTAGCTATGTCCAAAAATCTTTCCTCACCCAGGGTGATAACAACAACAGAACAACAGGACTCTGTAAGGAAGATAAGCAACATGGAACTAAGATAATCTTTTAGATAGCTCACTTCCCGCTTTCTCTGATTTTTAAATATTTTCTATTTAAATTTCTGTTGATTGAGGCCCAATAAGATAGCAATATAGTAGCTGGATATATAGGTATGCATAAATTACTCTATAACAGCATTACTTTATACAATATGAGTAATATCGTATAAAGTTTGCTCTGTTACTAGTAAATATTCTTATTGTCAGTTTGTAACGTGTGAAGTAAAAATCGACAAAGTGTTTCTTGATTGTATCACCGGAATAAGCTAATGTTGTATAAAGAAGTGCGGAAAAGGGTAAATATGATGGGGCAAATAATCTTGTAGACTAAAACTAGACGACATGGACTTTTGTTTAGTTTCGAGATTAGTTTGACTTGAAATCCACCGCCATTGCCGTGATACAGATAGGAGACTCGAGAGGCGGCGTATACAATACAGTATCATGTTTCCAATACCGGATCCTCCTCCAGATTGAGCTATACTTCTTATTCAACTATGCTTAGTTAACAACCTCAAATCAATTAAAACTCAGAGAGTATGAGTCTAAAGGCAGACATATTGCCTAATCAACCTAAAGTCTATAATGCCCTTAAGATGCATTTGACGTGAGTACATAATTTTTAATATGTTAACATCATGATATTATATCATGAATGCAAAGCAGCTAGCGTGAAAGGTATGAACCAAAAAATTGTAGATATGAAGAACAAGATAGTGTTGCTTTATGGTCATAAGCAGACAGATTTCATACAGCCAGACAGTGATGTTGATGTTTAGCAGCGACCAATTGGCAAACGGGGTAGGAGAGGGGGCGCTGGATGAAGATTAAGGGCACTGCAAACAGCACCTTGTGGGGATGATCACGCTTCACTAAACCCATGTGTAGCGACACACGCTTAGGCGGCATTGGAGGAAACGATAGCACAAAACGGTGTGAATTGGTAAATGAGACATATGAAGTTGA